ACCCTATGATGTAAGGCTGACTGCTATTGTTTCTTTTTGCCCCCATTTCTAAATGCTTCTCTACATTATACATTTATAATGACTGCCAAACTATAACCGAATAAATACTGAGAAGCTTTGAGAAAAGCTCCAAGTTTCAGAACTTCTAATTGGCATAAACAATGGAATTTGGCATACAGACTATGAATACCTTGAGAAGACAAAACTTAATAGCGAAACAAGACTCACCATTGATCGCACAAGCTTCAATGCACTGGTGTAAACCTGTAGTACAACAGAGATATAAGTGATGTCTGCTTACTATATATATATATATATTATAATGTGTTATTGGTAATAACTCATTTTTGAGAAAAGAAAGTTTGACACTGGCTTTCTTTTGCCTTTACTTTTCCTCCAATCTTTAGAGTTTCATAGAAAAACAGAAAATAAGAGTAAAGTAAAGAGAGAGCACTAGTCATGTGACAAACTTCACTGAGGCAGAGAAATTGATCATTTCCTTATCATAAGAAATATTATCAACTGGTACATAGGCTTTTCTATAATCTAAAAGAACAGAAACGACAATAAAATAATAAGGAAAAATGAAAAGAATGTAATTGAAAATTAGATGGTTTCTTTTGACTTACTTTTCCTCCAATCTTCAGAGTTTCATAGAAAAACAGAAAATAAGAGTAAATTAAAGAGCGAGTACTAGTCATGTGATAAACTTCACTGAGGCAGAGAAATTGATCATTTCCTTATCATACGAAACATTATCAACTAGTGCATAGACTTTTCCATAATTTAAAAGAACAGAAACAACAATAAAATAAGAAGGTAAAATGAAAAGAATGTAATCGAAAATTATGACGGTTCAGGTAATTGGAAATGCATACTGAGTAATTTGGTTTCAGTGCATGTGCAGCTGCAATGTAGATAGCAGATTGGCTATATAACTCATCAGGGGAGACCTCCTTTGCGTTCATGGATCCTCCAGTTCTTGCCATGTCCTCTGCTAATCCATACTGCAAGACACACAAGATAAGATCAATCTGTATTAAATCCTTGATTTGTTCATCCCACCTTTTCCTTTTGGGGTCTTGTGTGGGATGTCGAAATTCCTTAACTTTATTCAATGAAGAAAACATTATTATGTTTATAAAGTAATGAAGGAAAAGATAAATGCTAAACCAACCAGAACAGTGCCGAGGTTGTAAATTGCCCTGTGAAAATCGAATTGCAACTGTATTGCGGCACGGAACTGCATTTTATTACAGAGAAATACATTAAGTTAGCAAAGGAAACCATATTTATGAACCAAAACCAAACAGTGACCAGCTCACTCGATCACCATATATAAGTATGACAAAATTAAATGAAAAAATGTTGCCAAATATAACTATGAAAAATATAATTTGTATCATTCCTTTACCTCTTGCATGTACTTCCTTTAGGAAAATCAATGTGGCATTTCTCATATTTCCAAATCTCCAAATACATTAATAATTTCGCAGTTTATCGAATCCAAAACATGTTAATTGATAGATAATAGCAGAAAAATTGAGTAACTTGGGGTACTATCTAACAAACTTGGAGAATTATGTAAGAAATTTTAAAATGTTAATAATGAATATATTCTTTTTACTTTTAGATGTCGATTTTTCAAGTAACACAGACATAATATTTGAAGCCTAGTCAGTATAAACAAATTTCATTACTATGATGAGTAGTTTCGTTGGAAGATGAACGTATTATATTTATTTGATTTGATTTTTGTTAAAAGATTTTGTAGTTTATAACTTCTTTCTTATATTATCCTTATTTATCTCACGCTAAAGAAATTAGGATTAGCTTAGATAAAAGTCAGCTTTCTGAACACAAACAAAATTTTTATACTTGGTTAGTCAAATATAAATTCATATAAATGCCAAAATAAGAAAATTTTCAATTTTCTATAGGTGTAAATTGGAGAGTACTTGCAATTAATTAGGAAAAAAATAATGACAATCAGTTTATTTCTTTTCCTTTGGGACGATAATTTTTTGGAGTTGATTATATATGCACGGTAGAGTAAAATAAACACAACAAACTAGGGTGCAGCAGAAGAGAAGTGAATCTTTGATCTTCATGGCCTGATATTGAAACGCACAACATGCAATTGAGGATGATTTCTACAACAGGCATTAGAGGATGAATATATGACCCAACCAGCTTTACCAAAACGGGTAGCTGGTTTCAGACAAACATTCCTGGTTCAGTGGGTTTTGACCCGTTTCATGTAAAACTGTCCAAAAGTGCTGACCAGGCCAGTTTGGAATTAGGTTCGCCAGTTCCGGGCTTAAATTGGTGATCTGGTGTGGTTTTAATGACACTAGGCAAACAAAATTACTCCAGATCTTATTTTTAAAATTAACCAACACTCTCTGCTAAATCAAGTGGTTTCAATACCTTATTGATTGCAGTTTTTACAATGGTCTGTTTATCTCGCGCAGGGACAATTGCACTGAGTTCCTGAAATATGAATTCGAAGCATAAAATTATATACCAAACTTAAGGCAC